CTTCTGTTCCTTTCTAGCTTCTTTCATTGTATATACAAACAACTTTCAGCAAAGGGGAAGCGGCCAATCAAAGGGCTGCCATGAAACATAAAGGAGGCGATTCAGGTGGTCGTGGTGGGATTCGTACACTCGTCCTTCAGGGGTGACGAATTTGGTGACGTGACCACGGAGTCTTAACAATAAACATTGCTTGGAAAGTGTGATCGAATTGTACGTGCCCATAGTCTGCGAAAGCCTCACTATGGTAAGGGGTGGGTGTCTCGGTTTGCAACTGGTCATCCCTCCCTTGTACCTAATTGTTCCCATACAACCAAACATCTCGAATAGCCTCTGCTGAGGAAGCCTTACTCATTCACTTCCTTCTTGTGGCGGAGGTGTTTTCTCATCAAAGTGAGAGGACGAAAAGTCAATATTCGGGGTCGGTGAACTTCTTGCAGTGGTAGTGGTCATCAAATCGATCGAGTATTGAGGTGTATTGGGCACCTTGGACGTTTGACCCCGTCCGAAAGGAGAATATTCTGATGAACGGGAAACCGGTCCCCAATGGATTGCGGTTTTCATACACCACCTCACCGCCTTGCGGATCGGGCTTTGGCTAGTCGAACTAGCAGTATCATGCCCTCGAGAAAATCATGGACCGTCTTCTTTCTATAAAGACTTTTGTACCGTGGAATGTTTGGGCACACAATGTGGACTTCTACGTGTGTGAAATATATACTTCTCTCGAGCTAGATCACTCTTTTGATCAGTAACCAGGTGCTGGATCGTCATTTCTCTATTTCATCAAAACAATAGTCAGGCGGCGCTTATTGCAATTTTCTTCAGTATTCTGATGCATTCTAGAAGACATTATCGGTTAGTGTATGCACTGGGATGAGAATTCCAAAGTTCACTGAATCTATTGAATACTTCATATGATTTGTTTTCTTTCGCTGATGTGTAATGTGTCAAACTAACCCTAGACTTCGTCGTCAAAGCAGTAACGAAAGGGATTTATCTTGTGTGATTCGGTTAATGTAGT